TTTTTCTTACATGTTTTTTTCGAGCATCTCGATTAATTACCGGTGCGGAAGAACCTTCCGTCGCATCTTCTTTCAATGCGTGCGTTCTCTGTGTAAATTATCAGCGAGGATGTAAAAGTTCAAACTTTTTGACGAAGAATTGCTCGTTGGAGTTAAAAACTATCGCACATTGATTGAAACGAATTGTCTTTCCGATTAACAAGCTTTTAATTAACAAGCGTGTGCTTGGTTTTGTTGCTTGCGAACGCGCAAATTGCGAATTAATATTCGCAATAATGAAAAGATGTTAACAGAGTTAATTAGAATGTACAATTCATTGCAAATTAATGTTTACAATATTAAATTATTGTAATATATACAATATTAAATCAAATTATAAATATTAATGTTTGCAATATTAAGGAACTTAAATTTCTGACAAAGTTACAGCATTTTATTTGATTCTCATTGCTTCTAAATGTCATACCGTTTGTGATATTTACTACCAATAATATTATTTCACACCGCGCGCAATCTGAGAACAAATTGCAAACTTTCGGAAATTAATCCCGGGGAAAGTTAAATATTCCCGAGGGTATTAGTCCTTGGGAATTAATTTCTTCTCAGTCTCCTTTCAACGAGTTCTGCCAATCCTTCAATCTATCACTAACAACTTCTTTATATTATACTCTGCCGATAGTCCACGATTAACCCAATTCGGCCTTGGTGTAACGACGGAGAAGGCACGTCCGAGAAAAACTGCGAAGGGATTACATCGATATCGAAAAGTTTTGGTAGTTCGATATGACCGTCCCCGTTTGCGAAGAGCAGCGTATCGAGCAAATGCTTTCCAGATATCCTCGCTTCATGACAGAAGCTTAAATATTTTTCGCGTATAAGAGGAACGTTTTTTTCTTTTTCTTTCCCTCCCCCCCTTCTGTTATCAAACTTTTGTCACGGTATTTATTTTCTTCTTCTTCGGGAAGAGAACGTCGTAGTTGAAGCGAATGTCCATCGCTACGAAAGTAGTAGAATCTCGCTTGAAAATTGAGAACATTTTTCTTTCTCTCTCACTTTCCCTTTCGTTTCGCCGGTGGTCGTCGCGACGAAAATCGTTCTCGCGAAGTTTTCAAAGGAAGCTTCCCGCTGCAAAGGAAGTCAGACTTCGGTGGAAAAACGGTAAAATGATTTTTGTGGACGGTTCGCACCTGCGTCGGATCCTATTTCGCTGTGATTTAAATCTCGCCAACTTTCAATCTCGCTTAAGCTCGGGGCTCTATAGTTAATTAATGACGGACAGGCGTGTGACGTCAGATTGCTTTGACTGATTAAGTCACGCCTCTAAGTTTCTCTTGTCAGTGCACTCGTTCCTCAAGGCAGAGTCTTTCTCCAGTTTCACTTTGTCACGCAAAAGCACGTACTATGGGAAGATATAATGGAAAGTGAAGTTGGTGGTTGTTCGAGGCGAGCTTAAAGTGACTTTGAAGTCAGTGGCGATTCTTACAAGCACGAAAATACAAAATAAAGGTACTCGTCGAAACATTAGTGAATTTTTAACTTGAATCGACGTGGGAAATTTTTAAAGACAGACAGGTCTGAGAAGTCTTTGCATTTTATATCAACCTTTGTGAATTTGAGAAGAATACGTCACGTTTTTGCTGTTAGTTCACGACTGGCTATCTGGGTTAAACTACATTGTCCACTGATGATGATTCTCGCTTCACGAAGAGATGCCTTCATGAAGTTTCTTCAAAGATGTAAATGCTGAAAGAGAGCGGTAGTTAGGGTTTCTCAGATCTGCATCATCTGCCT